CTATTGTTCAAAAACAAAAATGTAAAAAGGGATATCAAGTATCACAGATCCTGCATCGCCGGCCTGTAATGAGTTTTAATCCGCGCTCATTTTTGTGTTTGGCTGTTTTGCATTATGAATTCATTTTAAGTTCCGCAGGAAAATTGATCGAATGTGAATGATATTTGGAACATATGTCATACTTTATACGAAGACATTTTGGATGTATAATGGGGGCAAATATCAAAGAATTAAATCGGTATCTTATTTTGGAAAACGTTCAAGATGTCTATTTCTGTATTTAATTCTTGGACCTAAATAAACTATTCCTTTATTACTTAAGTGAAAATAAACTTAACATTTTTGATCACACCTAATTCTACTTATTTACTCTCTGTTCTTAGTTATGTGTGTTTCCGTAGATTGCAGTGTGTTCCAACTAAATATATAAAGCTTCAAAAGAGTATAATAAACGAGTAAAGCAGTTGATTCCTAAATACAAATGAATGTCAATTGTTTTTCAGTATTTAATAATAAAAAATCAATATTTAAATTAATGAAAAGTATATCTAGACTTCATCAATATTTATCAGGTGTGCCTAGATTAACATTTGTATAACACTCTTTACATTGTCTTTTAATGTCCAAAATACACTTCCAAAAGGGTTCTGTCATAAATCCTCTGTTGTGTGCATGAAAATGAAAAAAAAAATAATTGGACATCGCTCGAAACTTTTCAACGATGTTTTATTAATATTACATTGTTGAACAATTTCAAAAGCGATGTCCAATAATTATTTTATTTTTTAAATTATTCAAAATTAACAAAACTTAGATTTAATCAGGGAATTTGACGATGACTTCTAGATTTCTATAAATCAAATTCCCGAGAGAGATAAAAACCGTAGATAAATCCAAATCAATTTGTCTTGTGTTTGATGCTGTTCAAATTAGTCTAGATGTTTATCGACTTGCCTGATATACCTAAGGTGACTGGATCTGTTTTATTGTAGCAGATTTGAACTTGTCAGTTTTCTTTCTTTCTTTCTCTTTTTTTTTTATTACCGACATATGTCACTATTACCAAGTCCAAGTTGATATAAGTTCTCCCACTCTTTACCATGGAAAAAAAAAATCTTCGCAACTGTGATGATATGCCTCCAAAATAATTTATGAGTGAATATATATTTCATAATTTATTTCCAAACGTGTAAATTCAATATTTCTTATCAAAGCTAAATCATATTTTTTAAATTACTTATCTTGAAATAAAACTAAATAATTCGTCCTGAGAAAATTGTCGAAAGCTTGAATTTCTCTCTTACTCAAAATTTTAATGCTGATATTAAATATTTTTTCTTTTTTTAAATATAGACACGTGTGTGGGCTACAAAACCTTGTATACATGTATCGTTTTCCAATTCCCAGATGGCTTAAATTTTATGCCCGGAAATTGAGAGTTGCATCCAAGACGACCGATAACGTGGAGAATTTGGGCAAAGGTCCTTTGGTACTCAAAAAAAAAAATCCAACGAAAGATATTTAATACAGTTTTGAAATGTTGGCATTTCATGATCCAAGATCAAGCGTAAGACAAGCGGCACTTCTACAAAATGGAATCATTTACATGGAATGAAATATCAGGAAGCATGTGCATACGGGGAGAGGGGGTCTATATACAGAAATAAATAATAAGAAACATGCACGGAGAAAGTCATGTCTATTAAAATATCCTAAGTAAATGTTATTTGAATTCAGTCATTGTAACATTGGTAAGAAAATGAACACGATCATAAAGATTTACTGCAATGACTACTTGTAGGGCGAACTACAAATGGAGATAGAGAATGCACAGTGCTATTAAAAAAAAAAATTAAATAGTAATTTGTAATAATCGTCAAGTTTTGTTAAATACTAATGCATAATATCATAATTATAAATCAAGTTTTGTTAAATACTTATAAATAATATCATAATTATAAAGGATGCGTTAACGAAGAAAAGAGAAAAAAAATCAGTTAATTGTCCCCCTACATATTTTTTCATAAAAAGCCCTTTTCATGTATCTATCTTTGATGGAAGAGAAGGCAAATTTTGGAAACATAAAATTCTTAAGAATGAGATCGAATTTCTCTTTTGGAACCTGCAATAAAGAGACTTATAGGAAATAATTAAGTGTTCTGAACTTAACCCAAGTGTCGGGTCTATAAATCTTCGAAAAGAGATTCTCTCTCTCTCTCTCTCTCTCTCTCTCTCTCTCTCTCTCTCTCTCTCTGTATGATTTTTTTCACAGGGGACGGTAACATACTATGCTTGTATAACATACAATGTATTATATACAAAAAGAAATCTTATATATTGTGATCATGTAAAATCCAACATAGTATGTTTACGGCCCCTGTGGATTTTTTTCTTTTTTTCTTTCATAAATTGTAATAAATCGTAACTTACATTGGGAATCTGGTTTAAAAATAATTTTAGTATGTCTAGGGAGAATTCTGGATATTGGTTAAGCGATCCCCGTATCTTTAAATAAAATTATTTACATAATTTTTTTCTTCTGATTTTACAAAGAAAAATGTTTAAATTCACATATTTACAATTAAACAATTTAGGACAAATAAATTAATGGCGACCTGTTTGCCACTGATTCAGCACATCATTTTTCATTTACATTTTTTCTATTCCCTGAGCTCTTTAAGTATTTCATATAGGGGGAGAAATTCTGAAGGTAAAAATATATTTGTTATTGAAAAACAAATGAAGATATAAAACTACATTGCTACAAAAGACACTGGAATTGATAGATTAGCCTCTAGTCAGGCACGTAGCAACAGCCCCCCCCCCCCCCACTTTTTTCCAAAGACTCTTTTTACTATTTGAGATGTTAATTGAAAGGCCGGTTATCCCCCCCCCCACTTTTTGTTGTAGAATAGTCAAATAAGGCTTTTGTAGTAGTGTATGGATAAAATTTGGTACTGAAAGAAATAGGATTTTCGAGTTCGGACAATTTTCAATTTTCCTTTTTTTTTTTTTTTTTTTTGCTTGTCAATTTTTTTACAGGTAAGTTGAAATTTTTTTTCTGGCTGGCCCCCCACTTTCAAAAACGATGCTAGGTCCCTGCTAAAGACAATGCATTTATGAATAAAATGACTGATGACGACTAAAAAAAGAAACTACCATATTAGATTTTATATTATAGCTGAGTGAATTGTCAACATAAACTAAGAAAATTTGATCCATATTTAAATTATTTCAAAAGAATACACAATAAATGGGTAAAATGTTTTTAGGTCTACACACAAAGGTCTTCAAAATAAGAGCAATCGCAACTTTACGGGCCTTTCCGACAAGCGGAAACCGTTTTAAAGAGCTTGCCGGAAAGACCAGAAAAGATCCGTTTAAAATAACATAGCTTGATGCCACCTTTTCTCCAGGAAAAAAGGTGTGATCAGTAAAGTTGAGGGTGATTTGTGAATATTCCGAAGACACTTGTGACAAAAACCTCGATCTCTTTACATCTAACATGTTTGTTTGTTTCGTTATTTCTATTGTGAAACAAACATTGAACTCATAAAAAGTCACATCCTTATTTTAAAAAAAATATAAAACGTTTTCTCTAACAAAACTTTACGATAAAAGTGATGACTTCAATTTTTCTATCGTCACCTTCCTTTATATATGTAGCAATATACCATTATCACCTGCAAATGGAGCTTATGTCTCACATTTGATTCGATACGCAAGAGCATGTCCTACTTACGAACAATTTCTAAAACGAGGCAAGCTATTGACGAATAATTTGATGATACAAGGATATCAACAGTCTCGTTTAAAAGTCAACGTTTCGCAAATTCTATGGTCGATTCAATGACCTTGTTAGCAAATACAATCTATCGTTCAGTTGAATATTCACACAAATTGTTAGGCTATTATTTTACACCATGAATTGTCTACGGATTTTTCCATTCGAACGATCATGACAAGGAGCACAGTGTGACCAGTCGACAGGGGATGCTTACTCCTCCATGGCGCCTGATCCCACCTCTGATGTTTTTAGATCCGTGTTTGCTCTGCTCCCAATTTGTATTAGTGCAATGGATTTTTGAGCTTGATAACTGTTCGTTACGTTCATATTTCATTTGTTTTGTTTTGTCTGTTCTCAATATTAGGGAAAAAGTACGTATTAAGCATAAGCGGATAATTTATTTTTAAAAAAATGCAATATTTGCAACATTTATTATATATATCTTTAAATAATTCATATAATGTATTATCGATCCGTACGTAACATTGAAGGAAGAGCCATGAAACAGTTAACCATATTTGGAGTTTTTTTTAACTAGTATAGAAGTTAACGGTACTCTATTCATTCTAAGAAAAAGTGATATGATATCGACTCTTTTGTGTAGAACTTTTTTTGAGGTATTGTTAACTGGTGAGTATCATATGTGAAGCCTTACATTAAGACCACACAAAATAATTGTATTAATTGTACATGTACATTCACTCCCAAATAATTAAATTAAAAAGTGAGTCATTCAATGCTTTGAATTAAAGTGCCTATGTCCGATGATCGAGCAATTTTTCCTCTAATCTTTTAATTACATGATGCTGCAGTGAGCTTATTTGTGTCAGTAGTAAAACTAAGATAATGTGTGTGTTACGATATCAATATACACAGGGGGAATACTGATAAAAATATCAATCAAAACTAGGTCTTTTTGACGTAAATCCTATTTTAATCTCTTGTTTTAGAGATATCTATCTCCTACTTCATTGCCCCAAAGATCGCTGTTTTAAAAAAAATTACTTAGCAACATGCAGTAGCTGTCATAATTTATTATATGAATTAGAAGATTTAAATCATACGGTAAAAACTCAAAACATTTATTACTATGTAATTCATTTTAATTCGATAAAAACTCAACAAAGCACAACTGATTAAATATAAGCATATAATACACTAGATATCGTATTTCCATAATTGTATAAATGTGAGCACCACTGTAGCTTTAAAAATACCGTACCTGAAGACCATTTCCATATTTGGCACTGATAGCAGATTTAAAAAATAATAATTATTAGTTCGAGCAAAATTAATTCGTTGGTCAACTCTGCAAGTACATCGGAGCCATGGTGGTTGGTTTCATGGCATAGTAATTCATGTTATAGTTCTGACCAATGTTTCCCATGTTTTCCTGGGGAAGGTGCTGATGTGGCGGCATTGTCTGGTGCATAGGAGGGGGACGGAATCCCAAAATATCGTTAACGGAATGTGACGAGGTAGCCCAAGCCCTCATCATACACGGTGTCACACAGTTCGAAGCCGACTGGGGTGGTTTGTTTGGATTCAGTTGAGCAAGTGGTTGAGATACAGGCATTTGTGGAGAATGTACGGGTGGCATAGAGGGTGTTGAACAAGAATACGGATAAAACTGATGATTGTAAATCGGCGCAGGCGCAGTTGGTGAAGGCATTATTGGGGTTTTATTATCGTATCCTTGACTGATGGGTGTCGGTGTGGGATTACCTCCAATTTTGTTACGTAAAATTCGACTTATGGAACTCACAGATGGAACGTTATATTTATCACACACGCCATCTGCCAAAAGTTTGTCCCGAATCTCCCACGCAAATATTCCTGGGTCCCTCTCTTTGTACATCTTAATATGTTTGACGACATTAGGGGTAGTTACCCGTGGCTTACTGCCACCTATGGCACCAGGTAAAATTGAACCTGTTTCGTTATATCTGGCTAAAATTTTACTCACACATCCATGAGAAACTCTCAGTTGGCGGGAAATGTCACATGGTCTTACTCCCAGTTGGGCCAGCTCGACAATACGGAGGCGGATTGCGTTTGGCAGAGGGCGACCATTGACGAAAACGCCTCCGAGCTGGTTCACCTCGCCAAACGTCGACTGTTCTAAGAAATAAGTAGAAAGAAATTAATTGATTTACATAAATATTGATATTTTTTATAATTTAAAGATATTTATGATCTGAAAACTTTCCCTGAAATGTAATTGATTGTAAATTTTCTTGTACTGAAGTACAAGAATATATACAATCAATAGAATTTTAGGGGAAACGAGTAGTTGTTATGTATGTTACCTTGTCTGTCAATCATTCAAGTATCAGTATCAGTATTTACATTGCTAAAGGCTATTCAATTGCATCACAAATTTTATTTAAATAATTTTCATGTCAGTTTTTATCTTAAATATATAAAATTCTCTTTGATTTGAATTTATTCTAAAAAATAAGTTTACTGTACATAACAGAAAGGTTTTTTTATCTGACCTTTTATCCATGGACATTAATACACAATCTCCGTTATGTTTTTTTTTTTATTGTCCAAATTCTGTTTGTAGTCGGAACATTAAAAATGCAACAACAAAACCCAGATGAATAGTGCAAGCATTCATATATATGTTTTCTTACCAGAAAAATTATACAACAAACAATAAATTATAAAAGATTTTTAAAAATCTAGAAATGAGTTTAAAACTATACCAGCGATCCTGACTAAAAGCATTTGAATGACAAGAAGTATTTAATTAGTTTATCATGTTACAAAATACCGTATAAATAAACATTCATGTTTTCTCTCGATTTTTAATTGTTTAAATTGTAAATTTCACATTTCCGGAAGAAAATTTCGCCTTCTGTGTTAACAAGCCACATGATATTCCATCGTTTGATAGGAAGGTTATAGTATCGTCAATCACAAACGCCTGGACGTGAGGAAGTATTAATTTTCTTTCACTTTTAATTAGCTCTGTCCACTATCAGAAAACTCGTTCTCCGAGGGGACGCCTTGGTCACTTTCTCATAACTTGCTCTGAACCGCGTTAATTGCGATTCTGATAACGGGGATCGTGGTCATTTTGATCTCGCACTTGTTGGTATCAATTTTACGGAAGTTCATAGTTCTCGAGAGAAAACATTATCTTTTGAAATGGGCATTATTTTTCTTTGGTGTTGATATTTTGAATAATAAATTTTGTTAAAATAAGAATTTTGAGGAATAAAATATTAAGAAACAACGATTTTGAAAGTTTTGGATTTAAGAAAAATAATATAATAAGTCATTATTTATTCTTAGAGATTGAACTTTTTTCTGATATGAACCTTTTTTTTTTCAAATTAAAAAAAAATATTTACTAGTATAATTTTTATATATAGCTTATTATTAAAACAAATTGCCTACAAAACAAAGTAAACATATTTAATTGTGTTTCTTGAAATTTAAAGTATTTTGGAAATTTGAACAATAGAACTTACCCATTAGGAGATCAATCTTGACGTAGTAGAAGAAATCCTCTCAAACAAAAAATTTTGATTTAGTTTTAATGTCGCGCCGTAGGATAGTTTTTAAATTGTCATCGATAAAATTCAAGAAGCCGGTGTCTCTAAGTCTTTGATAACACGTGTAGGTTCCTCATATTTTTCTACAGGGATTGTTTGGGTAATTGTGTCACTATGAGATGTAAGCTGCGACTTTTTGGTCTGTTGGCAATTCGCTATGGGCCGGCGCAAGAATAAATCTGTGTTACACGTTAGATATTGGCGAAATCTGATTGGATGAACCCTCTTTCACGTGCATCACTAGATCCTCCCACGGATCACCGAAAATCAGTTCCAAGCTAATGGAAATTTATTTTCCTTATCAAATATTGATAAAAAAAATATTAATTCGTTTTTATTTGTAACGATATGTAACACTATTATCATGAAAAAATTGTCTATGTTTGAAGCAAACATTTTTGAAATTAATGAAAATATGTTATCCTTGATGGATATAAATTTTAAAGAATAATTCAAACTGTACTATTTTACTTCAGTAAATTAGTTCAATGTTCTCAAACAATGGTTATTGACCAAAAGCACCAAGACCAAGAAGAACAACAACAAATCAGTTACAATTACTTAGTACACAAATTTAAAAAGATTTTTTAAACATGGACTTTATTTCATTAGGAGGAAATCTTCATATATAACAAGATAAGTGGGAAAACAGGTGTTGAACAATAATTCATAGGACGATAATATATTACAGAAAAATGCCAAAATTGTTATAAATCTTGCGAAACAAAATAAAAATGTCGTTTTTGCACCTAATGCTCTGAAGCAGCATTTTTGCAACGTCAAAAACGGATTCTCTCTTAGCGATATTATCCACAAATTTACGCAAAGGGTCATGCTGTTGTACACCTCGATTCATGTAATTTGGCACTAGCATTAGCAAGAACACAATTGTATGCACACAAAACTAACACTTAAATATCATAGAAAACTCTACAGGAGGAAAATAAAACCTCAGTGTCCCAGGGTCTTATGGCCTCAAACCTCTGAGAACATTGTGTCATAAAGATAATGGTATCTCAGAAACAGATGACACCATTGGAAAAAAAACGCAACGTACAGAAGGTGTTTCGTAAAATGCACGTGCATATTACGAGAGTAAACAAGGCAGAAAGTAAACATGTTTTTTGCATTTTGTAGTAATAGGCAAGCGGAAACAATAAAAAGACTTCACGGTTCTCTGGAATAGAAAATTTCCTGGCCAGGGCTTTGGTTATGTAACTTGAAAAGTGACTGAGGAAGTACTGGGAAGGATCAGGGTCTGTGTTACAGGTATCTATCTAACAGATGTAATTTGTGTACAAATTAAAAAAAAACAGCGATATATATAAATATATTTCTGTTTTTGTGCTAAATGAGGAAGGAAAAAATCTAATTATACTATCTAGTTTTTCTCTGGTATTATAATTTTATGTAGCGAGTCTGCTTATTCTTTTCCTTTTTTAAGAATAATTTAATTCAATATTTGGTTTCACTTGAATATAAATATACATCCTCAAAATAACCGGGAAGATAAATACTGTTGTACATCTATTTATTCTTAGTAATTTTAACTACACGCATTTCATATGAAACTTAAACAAAAATAAATCAACAGCTTTAAATCTTTATTTTAGGATAATTTTTTTTTATTTATAATTTCAGCTCTTCTCTTCCTTTTTATTTAATTAAAAATTATGTTTAATTCATTTAATGATATGAAAAAACCCCAATGATGAAATGTCATTGTATTGTACTTCTTTTTCATCGAAACTAGTACATACATTTCGATTCTTGCCAAAGTCCAAGAAAAAAGCTGATACAAAGCTGCATTCTCTATTGTTTAAAAAAATATAGTTTTATTATTTTAAAATATGTTTGTGAAAGTAAAAAAAAATGCTCCTCACATTATAGTGCATTTTATCAACCAAAAGAAAACAAAACAAGAACAAAAAAAAAAGAAAAGAAAAAATGTCCAAAATATAGTTCACTTGAACGCTACCCCTTAGCCTTTTAATACAGTATGTTCTGGGATATTTCCAAAGTGAACTTATTTTATTTGAAAAAAATATTTTCGTATTTGATGGACTTTCACAATGAATTTATATTTTATTTAATTTTGAGTGCAAAATTATTACTATCAGGTCAGTTTTTATCACAAAAGGATTATTTACTTCTTTTGATATATATATATATATATATATATATATATATATATATATATATATATATATATATATATATATATATATATATATATATATATATATAATGCAGAAATTGTTTTCATGATGGAACAAACATTGTTTTTGAAAATTTGACGAATAAGTCATGGGCGTCAGAAAAGCCAAATGTTTTCATCATATTTTTTAATAAATAAATTGACCTATACGTAAAGATTTTGTGGGGTTTTATTATCATATGGATGATATCCGTTATAAAAATCTCCAAATCACATGAACAATATCTGCTAATGATAATATTATACATTAGTTTGTACATGTATATGTATCCCAGATTGATAAACATCGTAAGGAGCAAGGAGAAATTTTTACTATACAGGGAGTACATATCGGTAATAATGTATAGGATTGCCTTGTATAAAACACTACAATGACCATGGTTATTCCTAGCCACGTATTTAATTTAAAAACAACAATAATTACATAGATCACGGGAGCCCTATCAGAAACTTCATTAACTTACCGGTCGGGTTCGCGTTACTGCATACCTGTATCATACCAAACATGGAGGCTTATCTCAAAATTTCCCATTAATAAATGTGTTCCGTTTGCATTATTAAGAAAACTTGAGATAAGCCATGCAGTTGATTGTTAGATATTCTTCTCTGAATTAACTGTTGCTTGTATGCAATTGTAGTTAAAGTTATTTATGATACAGAAAACTTGGTTCAAAGCTACAACATATGCCCTCTTCCGATGACCTTAGCCTAAAAAAAGATGATTATGATGAGAGAAAAAAATCGACGAAAACCAGAATTGATTGTTTGAACTGATATAAAAGATATATTTTTTTTTTACAAAGTAACTTCCATTTGTCTCCTGCATGATTCTGACTCGGGACTAAAAATGTCATTTCCTCTATTTTTTAGCTTACATGTACCTGGTACTAGGAATTTAGTGGGGAAAATTTTAATCAAGCATATAAGAATTTAATATTATATCAAACTGAAAACTTCTTATAATTTGTTAGAATTATATTTCAAAAACAAGAGTCATAACAATTAAACTTAGTTTGCAAATGAAAAAAAAATATGATCATAATTTTATTAATTCGCCTGTGAAGCCGATTCGTTGATTGCTCATCAGGATAGATTATTTCTTGATGAATTCAAGTTTGCTAAATATTATGCAGGGTGTCTTACAAATAAAAATATCTTTCTGTACATAATATTCACACCTGAATGTTGTTTTGGTGACCATATACCAAATGTTCCGCAGAGCTTATAAATACAATGTTTTTGATGAATCTACTTAGAAAAACCCATAAAGGATTCGAAATATTCTTTTAATTTGCACCCTTGACAAGGTTTTGCTAAAATGCAATATTGATTTTTGATTTCTTGAGAAAATCACACCTTGGTAAAAATTGAAACAACTCACTCATTTTATATAATTTTTAAAAATAGTTTTCTCTCCTATGCTCTTATTATGATCTAAATTTTCAATTCACAGAGTGGATGTAAATATAAAATGCGGTTTTTATCGTGTAAATTTTGTGTTTTATCTCCACCCAGTAAATTCAAAATTTACAACATGATATAGAAAAGGCTTGTTACTTATCTGGAAAAGATGTCAGAATAATATGCTCAAGTTTAGTTGATGTTTTAGGAGAAATATTAAAATTTCTCAAGTTTCTTGCTTTTTGTTATTGATTATAAAAAAAACTTGATTAATCTAAAAGTTCTTCATGATAATGTATAAATTTTAAATTGATCAAATTCATACATAGCAAGGGAAATATGTAAAATAGATATATAAATAAAGAATGAATGAATAAATAATATTCATTTTATCAAGTAAGCTGATTTTCAAAAGAGAGGCTAATTATAATAATTTTGCAGATGATCATTGCTGCCTCACGTTTCTCGACGAAATACGTTTTAAATATATATAAAATACAATTTGAAGACTCTCTTCTTTGGTTTCCATACTTCCAATAAACATCGACAACTAATATCTTTTATATTTGAAATACAAAAATACACATGTTTCCATCTGGTTTTTCACTGTCCTGAAATCCGAAGTTTCGTGATTTATACAAGAAAATGTTGATTTAAAAAAAAACATTCAAAACAATATCTTGATATTTTCCCGATATAATGCTGTATATCTTCATGCGACGACATCTTATTGATATATGCCTATGATGCCACACAGAGCTAAAAATCTCACAAAAATATTGTTTTCAAAATATAAATTGCAGGCTCCCTATTTACTTTAAAAAAAAAATCCAACTGAAGAAGTTTAGGATAAAATGCAACATAACTTTACATTTATTACATTTTCAACAGTGAAATATTGTTAGTTATCTCTTGAATAAAACTGATATTTTCACAGGTATTATTTTCACACAGCGAAAATATTTTGCATCATTTCGTGAACCTATATTCACCGCGCAATATTGTTTTTAAGTTCAATAAAGATTATTAAGAATTAGAACAAAAGGAAGACAGAAGAAAATATAATAAACAGAAAATTCAATATTCTGTAGTTAGAAAGGGAATTTATTTCAATCCTGTGGTAGGATTTCTTTTAATATAGGATATTTTCAGTCGTGCTTCACTCTTGGAAAATATCGAAAAAATCCTGTCCGACTCGTGAAATAAATTCCATATTCAACTACAAAACATTAAATATTCTTTATTTATTCCTGAATGTAAAAATTTGCCCGTAAATCAAACACTTGAATATAGTGTCGTAAAAACTGTCCACAGTTTATCTGCGGGTGGTCATTTTCTGCGATGAAAATTAAGAGGAGTTAAACGTAAAATAATTCTCACATTACTATCACTTGCTTGTATATTTATGAGGAACACTGAGACCAGAAATGCAAAATTTTTTATGACAAATTGTATTCAGAATTTAAAAATATATACATAAATACGTGTTAATCATATTTTGAGAAGGCCCAGAAAAAAAGATTTTATAT